ATCAATTTTCAATCTTTGTTTGTAGTATCAGCCCCTTCACTTTCACTGATACTTGTGGTTCCTAGTTCTATATAACTAGTGGGTCCAAGTCCTTTGCTACAACCCTAACAAGAACTTATAAGGTATTGGGTTAGGTTTTCATATAGCCTAGGTTCTTCTTTTTTCTTGTTAATATTATCTTCAGAATCCATCTTTCTTTCTTAAACCATCACCATGCCATTATCTATAAAGCCCGTTCATACTTCTTTTGTTTCTATACTTACTTCATTTTCTAAGCCCGCCTATTTACCCTACATCAACCTACCAAACATCTTATATTTTGAGTATATCTTGCTTGCATGTTTCTTGCTTTCTTCCTAGATCAAACAATTAAGGTTACTGTCATTATCAGCGTACAAGGAGTGTACAACAACCTTACATTAAGTAGAACAGAAGATGTAGAAGGTTGTATGGATGTAATGGTTGATCGTTCTCTAGTGTGAGATCGAAAAAGTAGGACCTGACTTGGTCTTTTGGGCTGTTAAAGTATAAAAAAATGTACAATTTTAAAATAATGAGAATGGTTAATGTAGTAAACAAAACAACTCACATTTAGAATTTGGAGAACAATTTCTTCATTTGTATGCATGCCAAAATCTTGCATAATTTTTCTCCCTCTTGACCTATCTAATCTAGGTTTTCTAGTTATTGTTAACTTCTTCTTAAGTGTAGGGCTTATTTCTATTCTACAGTTTGGCCTATCCAATCCAAATTTTTCATTATGTAAAGATTGAGCATATCATGTTTGACCACCTTTAGTTTCAATCTATCAAAATAATAGGAACATATTGGTCAATATTTCATGAATTTCTAATATATCAATAAATTAGTTTGAATTATCAACAACATTACAATCCTTGAATTAGTGGAGAAGAGTCAGATGATGTTTGGTCACCTTGGCTCGCAACCTACCAATAATAAAATAAAACAATACCATTAAAATATATCTTCAAGTATACCTTAAATATATATATATAAAAATAACAATTTTAGTTTACATTGGATTATCTTTTATTTGGACATCTTCTTACATTATGTCCACAAAGGTCATATATACTACAATTCATCTTAGTTCCTCGTCTTGTTCATTTTGTTTCACTACACACTTGACCTTCTTCTCTGTTTCTTTTTTACTTTGGTCTTCTAGGTAAGTTTATCTTCAATGGTGGGTCTATATTGTCCATTTTAATGTCTTTTTAAAATTTTGGACTTGGTATAAAGTGCATGATAACATTATACAAATCAGTGTATACAAGTTTCTTGTATAAATGAAATACATAGTCTTCATACCTTACAAGTGCATTTACAGCCTACAGAATCAACAAAAAATGTGTCTTATTGACACATGACCTTATACCCTTCTGCCTCATTCCAAATTACATGACAATATGCAATATTACGTTTATGTATTTCAAGTTTTATTTTAATTCTGGGGCACAACTCATCACTTAAGTGGGTCTCTATACCATTAGCTCAAATGTTCCATTCCAATCAACACTTCTCAGTGTAAAGATATAATCAAATAGCCTATTAAATTCATCTACAAAACTACCCTTAACTTTTCCAAAGTCTGCTTATTTATGTCTACTTTTAACTACTTCATAGTAAGTTTTTTCATCTCTACTACAAACTCAATATGCTCTCCACAACGTACACTATTTGAATTTGCTTCATTTTCTTCACCAGAAAATGTTGTGTCCACAATACAACCTTAGATTCAAAATCTTCTTCAATGACAGACTTGTCTTTGATTTTCTTTTTAACTAGCCTAAACTTATCTTTGATTGCATCTATCTCCTTATCATTATCAGGCAATAAATGTCCTCTATTTAATTATTCATCATCACTATTATCCACATCAATAACATTTATTTTCTCATAAATAATTTTAATTATCCGTTCATTAGACGCACTATCATCATCTTCAAGTATATCGGGCTCACTTCTACCACCTTCAAGTATATTAGACTCGCTTGTAGTATTAGGCCCACAACGAACATTATTTTTTGGATACCTCAAATTCATTTTTTACAATAATTTAAACATGTTTATTTAAACAATATATTTATATAACATAATGAATAATTAAACAATAAACTCAAAGTTACATAACAATGTCAAAATGAATATTTAAGTAACATATATTTAAATGACAACAAGTTTATTTAACATAACAATGGCAGAATAAATATTTAAGAAACATATATTTAAATAACAACCAATATATTTGATAACATGTTTTATAATGTTATAATCAATTTTAATGGTATGTCAATCTCACATAACATCATGTTTCATAAATAACAAGTTTCATTTCTTTTGTCAATTTTAATAGTAGACTAACCCCACATAACCAATTTTTTAAACATTTCCACATAGTTTTATCATATTAGTCAAATGTTATAATCAATTCTAAATAGAATCACAATTTTTTCTATTGTTTTAAACAAAAATCACATACTTATAATCAATGTCTTATCATATTAGTCCATTTTTTTTACTGTTTTTTTGTTTTAACTTATTATTATAATATTCTATTTATCATTTGGTTCTTGGTTTATTAGAATCAAATCTGCAACACACAATTTAAATATATTTTTATATAAAAAATATAGTGTACCAACAATTTTCTTGACAACATCATAACAGTAGTTCCACTTTATGTGTGGACTCCACGCAAACTTATAAAAAAAATAAAGCATTAGATTTCGACTTGGGTTAAAAAAAGATAACTCAAGCAGTGTAAGTTTAGCATTACCTCTGAAAATTGCTAACTCGAATATTTTTCTTTTTGTACTTTTATGGTTTCGTCTTTTATAAACTAGATGACGGGGTTTTCATTCCTACGTGTTTGATTTGAAATTGTGAATTTTCAATTTCATAAGTAACCCTAAACCCCAAATCATTTTATGATTTTTTATTTCAATTTTTAATGGGTTAGATTTAGGATTTGAAAGAAACAGAATTAAATCATGCAATGAAGATTAGGGAACTTTCTCACAAGAAAAATTGATACTCAAAGGGGAATAGAAGAATGAAGGAGGAGGAAGAGAGGAGGTTTGCTTCAAGAGTGAATGGAGGAGGAGGAGAAACAACAAAGAAATGGAGAATGATCGACAATTACTTTTAGGTTTTTACTTTCTAGGTTAAAATATTAGTTTTAATATTAAGATTAAAATATTAATTTATTTATTTTATTTTTTATATATTCAAATTTTATAGAAAAATGAAATTGAAATTATAATCAGTGTCACGTGTCAGAAATTTTATAACAGTTTTCATTTAACATTAGTTACAGCTGAGGCACCTAAAGTGGTAATATTTGTAACGTTAGCCACTTGGATGAGTCAAAAAAAGTTTAGACACCTATTTGTGAAAAGTGGTATAGTTTGGACACTTATTTTATATTTAAGCCTTATTATAATGTGTTGTTTTGTTTAATCATCGACTATTAAAAGTTATAAAATGATTATTCGATTATTTATATATTTTAAATTCATCTTGTTTCACCAAAAAGTTGATGATCGTCTGATCTAGATGTTAATAAGCTGACTAAGATATGATAAAATTAATTTCATAATTGTTTAAATTATATTTGTTGATCAAGTCTATGTTTATATTATGTTGTCCAGTCAATGTCTGAGACATTATGTCATCGCCAGCGCTTCAAAGCAATGACGGTATTTGTAGATATTAGTAAAATATGATTTTATTATATACTAGTTAGCATGTTAACGTTCAGCTCATATAATCATTAATTTTTTAACGAAAAAAGATGACCTTGGAACATATAAATAGTCAGATGATCATTTTGTAACTTTTAATAGTCAGTGACTCAACAAAACAATACCCTATAGTCTGGAATCACTTGTTTACTTTACACTTTTATAAAATTAATTTATGAAAAATAAGATCCAAACAGTTTGAATTAAGAAAAGAAGTGTTGGGATTGAATAAAGTTTAAAATATATGACTGAATTGATATAATTACAAAAGGATAAAGTATATAAATAATATTTCGATTATGAGATATTGCTTTGTTTTGTTCCACAGTAGTTATAAAATAATTTCTTGAGTATTGCTTTATTGAGTACCTCAACTATTAAAAATTACAAAATGATCACCTGATTATTCATATATTTCAAACTAATCATTTTTTTTGTTAAAAAAATTGATTGTTGTTTGTGTTGAACATTGTTAAATGAGATATGATAAAATCTTACCCGTAATTATTAAAACAATATAGTCGTTTAAGATTATATTGTCATATTATATTAAATTTCAATTAACAAGTTAACGTCCAACTTAGATATCATCAATTTATTAACAAAAAAACAAGTTTAAATTATATTAATAGTTAAGTGACTATTTTGTAACATTTTATAATTATAAGATTCAACAAAATAATACTCTATAATTAAGAGATTATTTTATAATTTTAATATTTAAGGATCTCAACAGAAATAATATATATATATATATATATATATATATATATATAACAAACGAATTTATAACTTTAGATTAATCAAATAGTCAATTTATAATTTTTTAATAGTAAGGGAGTTAAAATAAACATCACATAAACAGAAGACTAGCGTTAAATTTCACCCAAAATTATCTAATAAAAAATGTAAAGTTCAACCGATAAAAATAAAGAGGAACTGATAAGGATGTTTTTAATAATTTAAAATGGCTATAAAATAATATTTATTTTAAAAAATTAACTTGGTAAAAATAAGATAGGGAAAACATTTATATTATCATTTAAACTCCTTGAAGAGTTCACTTAATAGGTTCACTTAGAGGAAAGGTATCTAAATCCATTATATGTAAAATTAAAGCATATTCGGATCTTAATTCCCGCATTCGTTTTAAATCCGAATGAATGAAAACTGTTACTGAAATTGGACAACGATGAGTTCATAGTTCATAGCAGGAGGCAAACCACTAATAATCATCTTCGACTATACATAGGACTGCCATGTCCATGTTTTAACTTCTAACACCTGACATCAACATCTGTTTTTTATGTTAGATTTATATACTTACAAAATTGACTGGCTACTTTGAAGCTTGTCAGAATCCTCTATAAACTTACTCGGCAATCGAGCAAGGAAGAACCCAATCTGCAATGTGTGGCAGCTTGCGACTTCGACAGTTATAAGTTAGCTGCTAGGCCTGCAGTATTCGTTGCGTTAGAAACGTTAAACAAACTTCCAAGCACCATATTGAAGTTCTTAAGGAACGTTGTTGATGCTGGAAAAATCAATTGCAGGTCATTTATAGATAGAAGCATGGTGCATACGACGAAAAACTTATGACACTCCATACTTAACGAAGAACAGATAATTGTACTCAAACATGGCCCTACTTTGATCTAGTTCTCGAGAAAATTCAATAGCGTTTGTGTTGTTACCTTCTTTAAAGGAATAGTAGGGGTTCTCCCGCAAAGTACCTCAGAGTTCTCCCTCAATCTGCTAAAAGCATAAATGTGAGGATAAACAAATCGTAGCGTTCATATAAATATCACCGTACATCTCATGGAAAAGAAAAGACGAGACTTCTTACCTATCTTCGTTATCAGAGCTGTAGAAAACATAGGGATCGTTAGACCAAACCCCGGGAATAGATAACGCGAGTTTGTTTTCTTCTTGGCTCGTCTTCGAAGTCGTTTTAGCCGTGTTAGACAAATGCAACTTCTTTTGAGACCTCAATGCTATAGGGAAACAGTTGGACTGATACTCCGGCTCTTGAACAGAATGATTCTGACATCCACAGTCCCTTCCTTCTCCTTTCAAGAAATCATTTATATATGCCGGAGCCTGAGACATATCATTTCGAAACGATGCACAAGATGGGGTTGCCCCTGTGCTCAGTATGTTCCCTCCACTATTTCTGAAAGCCCGAACCACTTCCAATCCATGAGAACTGATACGAGGTATTTCAGATCCATTATCAGAGTGACAAGTTAAAATTGGTCTATGTCGGTCACTTATCATAGGTTTCTCCGAAGCATATTGTGAAACTTCGGAATCACTCCCACATTTCGTAGATGAACTTGACTTCAGACGCAGCCTGCGCGAACAACTAAACAAACTAAAAGATGGTTTCCTTACTTTACCCTTCGATAATTGATCGGGGACCAAAAGATTAATCCGAATCTCCACGTTTGAGCCCACGATCAACTGAAGTGAACTTGCAATATGTTTCCATGATTTTTCAGCCCTTGATACATGATTAGGATGGTAGAATTCCAGTTCGGCAATAGCCAGACCTGAATTAAAAGTAATATTAAATCATCAAAATGGAATGAGAAAAAGCTACGATTTACCATATCAAAAGTTCTTAAGAGACATTACGGATGAAATACTTCCGACGCAGATTAGAAAACAAAGGAATTACCATACAAAGGTAACGTAAAATATCCAGAAAACTGTTGTAGCCAATTAGCCATAAAAACGTCTATGGAAATGACGGCAATCTAAAATATGTTCAAATACGTTAAAGCATGCTCTAGAACGTCTACGAAATGGACCGCTACTGGAGAAACAAAATCCAGCATAACGAGACATATTGTTAGTTTCAACATCAACACGTCCATGCATTAAAGAGTGAAAAACGGTCCATTGGATCTGAGCTAGATGACAACTTAAGGATTTCTAAAATACATGTTGCTCGATAAGTGCTAGAATTTGTTTGTTTAGGAAATAAGGTTCCTCATTTAAAAAGTTTATTCTCACTGTCAACTTTGTAATGTGCATATATCCTAGATATGGGTTTAATGCGGAAACTCAGACCAATGTACCTTGATTAAAATGAAGAGAAGACAACTTCCCTCGTTTCCTCAGAAATTTTTTAAGTGAACCAGATTTGCATAATTCGGTTGCTTTGTTCCATATAGATTCCAGACTTCTCTCGGAACCATCCCGCTTTGCCAGTTTAGATGAGTTGATGCCATTACACATACAAATGAAAGGATGATTTGACCTCTCCCCAGTAGATGATGTGCTGTTAGAATCACTATCTGCTTCCAAACAAGAACAATCCTTAACGTACAGCTTCTCGATTCATTAATTTCAAACTTCAACTACAATTAGAACTAAATTATAAAGCACTGACCTTTGTGTTGAGCATTTAGCAAACATAAATTCGAATCGTTTGCATCCATAAAGTTGGATTCCATTGAGCTTAATTGCAGAAGAGCAACAGTGAGCCAAGTTGTTTGATTCTTTGACACTCTCAAATGCTTTTCCGTTTCTGATAGTGCTCTAAGTGCATGGCTTAACTTCAACAAGCTCGATTCAGCTGTGATAATACAATTTGCAACACTTGAAACGATGAAACACCCAATACTCAGAGCGAATGCTTGTAAATTCATTTACAGGTTTAGTTCATTGACCTTTGTACATACAACAGAATTCTATAGATAATAACACAAGGAATTTGTTGAAATATAAATTGCAAACCCGTATTTTCAGCATCATTATTGAATCAACATACTATATAATGCCAAAATAAGGAAATTTCAACAACAATGTGATGCATGAATATTCGGAACTTACAAGTATGGTTTTCAAAAAACTTTCTTCTGGCTTCTGAGCTACCTTCCTCACATTTCCCAGCAAGAATGTCCATAATGAGATTTGCTAGCTGTGATATAAGTTGCATAGGATCAATTTTCGACCTCATTATCTCCCGGGCCCGTATTACTGTTTTTGAAGTGTCACAAGATAAAGCCAGATCCAGCAAATCAAGCAATTCATCATCCGAAACAGTTCCAATCTGCCACCACCCCCATGAACAAAAAGGAACTTCAATAACCTAAAAAAAATAGAAACACCACAAGAGAAAGAAGAGGAAAAGTTTACAGCACTTACGAGCTCATGGGTTAAGAACATTGTGATCTTTTTACCGAGCAAACTCAACTGATCGAGCATCATCTCTGCATCCCTTAACGAGCCATTGGATTTAGCAGCAATGAAGCCTAAAGCAGCCTGATCATAGTCAAGACGTTCTTCAACACATATTTTCTCCAGCCTGTTTGAAATATCGGAATCTTTTATCTTAGGAAAGTGATATTTCTGTGCCCGAGAAACCGCACTTCTTGGCAGCATATCAAGTTCGGGTGTACTCATAATGAAAACAACATGCTGAGAAAGTTTCTCTAGGCTGTTTAAAACAGTCGCCCATGTTTCACCGTGCAGTAACTGACACTCATCGATAATGAAAATCTTGAACCGTGAGAAAACCGGAAGGGAAACTGCATTCTTAACGAGGGACCTCAACCTATCAGAGCGATTGATTCTCAATGAATCAACCTCCTTGACATCTCTGCTCCTTCCAGAAAAGAACATGATACATTCCCGACATCGACCACATGGTTTATGCTCCTCGAGTGAGAGACAATTCAAAGCAGCAGCAAAAATCCATGAGGCACAAGTCTTCCCCGTGCCACGAGGACCATAGAAGAGGTAAAAAGAGGCTACCCTTCCTTTAGTTATTACGCTCAAAAGAGACCTCACAACAACACTTTGTCCTACCAATTCATCAAAAGACTTTGGCTTGAACTTTTGGCCTAAGCTCCTAGGAGTATCAGAATACGGGTTGATTTCACCATTAATGCATTTCCAAAAGCTCTGCCCAAAAAGAGTTGTCTCACCCGTATCTGATGACAACAAAGGGAAGTCTTCAAAATCGGATGAAGGATTCGATTCTCTAAGCCTTGGAGTTTTCGACCAACAGCAGCTTATTCCACATCCACGGTGGTTCAGATCTGCAGTGTCAACATTTTCATCTATGTACAACGAGGTACTATAATTAGAAATAGCATCAATAGAAGGGCTCGCAACATCACCATTAGCCCCGTATGATTTCACTTGATTCCTAGATTGACATTTTGCTTTCAAATCGCAGTGGTTAATTCTATCCACCGGTAAGGATCTTATAACAGGCTCACTGCTAGAAGATAAATCATCCATAGAATTACAACTAGGTGCCATACATATTAAGCTCGTACGTTTAACACTAAAATTGCTATCATATCTTTCACCCAAGGGACTGTATTTTTGGACCTCTTCCTTGTTTACTCCATAATTTGTAGAATCACCATTACAATCATCCAACTCATCGGCTTTTCCAGCCCTGTTCCCAACCTTCGCCGCATTCTCACATATGATCAACTTAGAGTTAGAGTCTTCAGGAACAGAATGCAGCCCGAAATCGTAGCCTTGATCCTCTCCTCGTTCGTTAAATCCGTAACACTCTGGACCTCTAAATTCATTTCGCTCGGAACCGGTTTCCGTGCAACCGTTCACTAATTGCAAAGAAATCCCATTGCTTGAATTCGTTTCCCACTTGACATTGTCAAACAATGAAGAAAATTTGCTCATGGAATTAGTGGATGGATCCCTTAATGACCTCACTCTCCTAAGTGCTATTAGGGTTCTTGAGATTGGTATATCAACGGAATGTCTTCGACTGTCCATTCTTTTCAAAACCAAGTATCAAAATAGTGTCCTTCGCTTCAGCATAAACTCATATTACAGGACTTAGAGACATGATATGGATTTTTGACCTGAAAGAACAATTTAAACAAGAAACTGATCAAATAGAAACATTGAATTAACCGTTAAACACTCTACAAGCCAACTAGAGAATGAGCATATCATTGTATCAAAACCATTATCAAATCTCCACATGTTCCATTGTCTGAAAACCCCAGGCTCAAAATAGACCAGAATGCTTCAGAAAATCGGTTTTTTCCTTGAAAATCCAGGCATAAAAAACCCTCTAAAAGTAAAAACACGTTACAAAAGCACACACAAACACATTGAAAGCAAAGAGAAATATCATTTTCATGAAGAACATAGGCTCAAGCCATCCAAATGCATGGTAAATGAACACCCAAAAATGCAATAAATTGTACATTTGCATTTACTAAAAGCAAACAGAAAAAATAAAAGCTTTCACTTTGGAGAAGAGACTAAGCTAGTTTTAGTTACCTTCTAAACAAAAACTTACCTAGAAAACATAGGGTAAAAGACAGGAGCAGTGGAACTATGTATTAAATAAAAGAAAACTCCAAAGAAAGTTCAAGAATCTAGAATTCAAAATTCATAGTAACTGAAAAAAAGGGTCTAAAACAAATAAAAAAAATTGCATAGCCCAAGAAATAACGAAATGCAAGTAAAAACAAATAAACCAATTGAAAAACTAAAAGAAAAATAAATAAAAAACAATATCAGACCTGCTGGATGGAATAAAAGGAGGGGATGGACAGAGGTCTTCAACTCTCAACTCATTGAAATACACAAAATTTTGAAAAAAGCTGGAGTGAAAGTAGGGATACACGACATTGTTTCCTACAAAAAGGAAAAAACCCAAAGATAAAAACAATCAATATTAAAAGTTAAAGCTTTTGGATTGTTTATGTAGCTTTAAGTAGAAGATAAACTAGATATGGAAGAACAAGACAGAAGATGGTTAAGAGATAGAGTAAATGTGATTAATGAGTACATGGTGTGAATAAATAGAAAAAATATTTATAAGACATGTTTGCTTGTAAGGAAAATTTTGTGGTTTGCTATTTTCTTTTACCAGAAGATTGTTCTGTAGTCTGGTCTACATCTGCTGACTGCTGTAGAGTGTCGCAGAAAAGGGTCTGCGCCAGTGATGCTAGAAACTTTTGTGGGGTTTCAGTTATTTTTGTGGGGGCTATGAATAAGTGGGGAAAATTAAGTAAACCATGAAAAATAGTAGTATTTCTTTAATAAAAAAGCAATATTTTGTCTGGAAAAAAGAGCCATTTTGGAGCTCCCTCTGACCAGGCAGTACAACACACTGTACCTTTTCCATTTTGATCAAAGCACCACAGCATCAGCTGAGGGGTGGAGGTTGCAAGGGATAACAAATGTGGTCTTGTATTTATATTTAGAGTTAAAATAAAACTCGACTCGAAATTAAACAATTTTTAATACAATTTAGCAGTGTAGATATATGTTTTTGTTTGTATCTATAAAAATATTAATTAATAATATTTTTATTAATATTATTTACATCATACTTCAGGCTCACTAGGACGCAGACCCAATTACACTTGATCAAGCCCAATGAGCCTAGCACCCCAAGATACAACCCAACCCAGATGCAACCAAAATTGACCCGACCCGGTTCAAGTTCAATGTCAGGATCTAACCCAAACTAGCCCAAAGCCAGTAGACTCGAACCAGATTAGGGTTTTAACCCTAAATAGTTTCCAGCACCGCCTCTAAATGATAGCTGTCAGATCTGTCGCGCGTGTGATGCACGCGCCCAACGGTTCATCTCCGCACGCGTGAGCTTCCACCGATCTGTCCCGCCACTACCATCGTTAGCCATTCGTACCTACAGTGACCGCAAGTTAGTCAAAACAGTCTATCAACGTTCAGAAAAAAATAAAAATAAATTGAGAAGCAAATCTCATCAAATCCAAGAACTTATCAGAAAATATCAAAGCCTAAGGAAATCATCCGCCTACACAGAGATTATCATATCTACCCGAAAAGTACCATAAAAGAGGGGGAAACCTTCGAACAGAAAAAAAGGAGGGGATGAGAAGAAAGAGAAAAAAATGAAAGGGTATTCGGGGAAAGAAAAAGAAAGAAAAAAATTAGAGAGAACAAAAAATAAAAAGAAAGTAAATGAAGAGAGAAAATGAGAAGGAACAAAGAAGGTTAACTCACATCAAAGCTCATCGGTCATCTCGACGATTATGAGAGTCAAAGAAGCTGATGGGTCTTTCCTAGATCTATGTTTACAAGGACTGATTTACGTGAAAGGAAGCTCGATTCCTTTATCTGGGTGAGGAGACTATTCGAGCGAAGCCTTTCTCTCTCTCATACGTCATCGGTGAACGGTGGTCGTCGCCGGTCAGCAGCGGTCGACATGGCGGCTCACCGAATTCTAGAAACCTTTGGTCACCACAGTTGAAGCTCTTGAGAGCTTTCTCCCCCTCTCTCTCTCTCTTTTAGTCTGCAATGTAAAGAGGCAAAATGAATCAGACCGAAGGTTTGGCTTGATTTTCGGCCTTATATCATCCGAGTGAAACGACACCTTTTCAAAGGGGGTAAGCGTGTATTTTGGGTTTGGGTTAATGACGTTCAGGCCCTTTATATTCTGTAATACTTTATTTTAGTCCTTAAATATAATTTTTGCATATTTGAGTTTGAGCTTTAAAGTATTTTGTTTTTACATTTTAACCAACATACGTTTGTCATTTGTTTTGGGGAGATTTCTGATTGTTTTGGCTAATTATTAGTTTGATGCATTTCAGTCATGTTCTGTTTTATTAGTATATTTGGTTTAATATTTGATTAGGGTTATTGATCCATGATTTATTTTGATCAGATCCTTGTTTATATATAAATGAAATTATTAATTTTTATAATCTGATTTCTAAACTTGTGTAACTTTTGTTTTAGTCCTTTAAATATATTTTGGAAGATAAATGTTTTGTTTGTTTTATAGGTCTTATATTTTAATCTAAGTTCATTGTATTCATTGCAGTGGTCTCAAGTTAAATTTCATGGGTGTATTATATGTTTATGCTTCATTGTTTATCCTTGTATGGCTTAATCTTTTATTTGTTTGATTCATTTCGGTCTTATTATTTTGATTCAAATGTTTTATTAATATATTGTGTTTACTTATTTCTTAGTTGCATATTATTAAATGTTTAATATTATGTTATTTGATATATGTATATGTTTAACTAATTTTTTTAGTCACTGTATGTTTACATATTAGTTATTTCACTATACTATTTTATTTCATTCATATTAGTTTAGTTTATAAATCATTCTTTGTATCAATATTGTGTATCTGTAATATTCGATTAAAGTGTTTAAGTTATTCAAATATTTTCAAGAACTCGATTTGTAGAATGAGCGTGGAAAGCATCGCTTGGTCAAAGTGATGCGATCCGATACGACATTTTAATGAAATGTGAACTTGAAATAAGTCTAGTTTGTTTTACTAATTAAATTATTTTTTTATCAAATATTACAATGCATTTTTTTGTTAAATGGCAATTTATGTTATTTTATGCAAATAGTGATAGCCATTTTATATTCGATTAGCGTTTTTTAAATCAATGAGGAGGAAATATTCTTTTACTGATAAGAAATAGACGAGTTAGCTTTCCCGATGGAGGATTGCTAATTTCAAGATTTTTTTTCAAGTTAAAGAATTTTCCCTAATAATAAATAATTCAAAGCAACTTAATAAATGGATCATATTTTAACTTTATATTATATTCATGATTTCCACCATTACGACAACGTGTAAGCGAATTAGTTCTAATTTTTTGGCGTTGTGGGGGTGTTAATCCTTCCCCACGCGTAATCTACTCCCGAATCTTTTAAATCGAATCTTTGGTAAATGCATACCGTTCTTTGTCTAAAAAATAATTTTCTTAAAATTATTTTAAAATGACGTTTTTAGGTATTCGACCTACCTAAACCAAAGGTCGATGGCGACTCCCTTTCTATTTAATCCAAATCAATTCATAAATCCACAATTTTCCAAATTAAAGTCATAATCGTTTATCAAAATAAAACATTTAATTGTTTTATCAAAAAATGGTTATGATAGCTTGGCGACTCCACTGGACTGTTTTTAGAGAGTCGGGCTGTAAGTCGATTACACATTATCGTTGTGGTGGAAATCATGAGTTCGAGTCTTTAGATAATTTATGATTCATTTATTGAAGTTTTTCTAATTTCTTTAAATTATCGTACTAACGTTTCAATTCATGTTTTCAGCATTGTTTAGGTTTTATCAAGTTTTTTTCCTTGTTTCGTTTCTTTTCGAGTCAAAGGTTTGAATGTTCCTCCTCACACACATCACGTGCATTTGTATAACATAAGCTCTAGACCCAAGCTTTGATCCAAATAATTCGGGTGAATGCTTTACTCTCGTAATAATTATTCTTCGTATGAGTTTTAGCAAATAACCCATATGATACATAAGCCTTATACCTTCGTAGGGATTTATTCCTCGTATAGGTATAAGGAAGTGAATCCCCTCGAATTGAACTCGATCCGTTTATGCCTATAATGGGTTAGGATTAAGGGTTTGGCAACCCAAGGGGTACCGCCATCAAGGATAATTTGAGTACCCTTTCCTCATAGAGCCAAAACTATGCATATAGTGAACCGTAAAACAATCACCCTAGGTATAGTCATTCCAAACCTCTGTCCGTCAGTAGGTACCCAAAAAATAGGTGTACATGAAGGAGGAATATTTCTAAACCTTTATTTTTTGCTTTAAATTCTGTTGAATAAAAGCATACAAACTAGATACCATGCGGTTAGGAACAATTTCTTGAAAAATCATTGTGGGTAGAAAGCATGTCCGGGTAGGAATGATATTTAATAAAAGCATGCTCGGGTAGATATCATGACGGGGTAGGTGTTATATTCATCTCTGAATAAAATTTTTATATGTATCAATTATATTACCTGTACTAACTTATTTCTTTTTCTTTTGTTTGTGTCATTTTTTATCCTTCCTTGTATTGCATTGCATCGTCATGTCATAATGAAAAATTATTAATCCGTAAGGGGATATTCGAGAGAAAATTTTCACAAGAAGAGGTAAAAATTTTCAATCAAGCAGTCGCATACACAAACATGCACTGAAGGTTAAAAGAA